ATACTTTTGAGAGATTTAAACAGACTTAACACCTTTCTGATTAGAACAGCCCTCACTTACTCTTCCTGTCAAGACGTCAGGAGGGCAAGCTGAAAGTGCACCTTAACAGTTAGCAAACACAGAGTTTAGAACATGAATTTTTGTTTGTTGGGGTTTTTTTTGTTAAACTGTGATTTTAATGCTTATCCTGAAGTAGTGCTAGAATTTTATCTTCTGTATTCCCAAGTACTAGATGCTTACAAAAGTCAAAGTTGACTTTGCTTCATGTTCAGTCTGTAGCATTTTATCATCACTGATTTTTTTATTTATTTTTTTTTTCCACAGGGATATAGCTTTCCTATTAGTCCAGGGTAAAAGACACCCATTTTTGAATTTATTTTTAGTAGTGAAGAAAAAACATAGGGAGCCCACTCTGTGCCCTCAGATGATACAGCTGGGGGACACATGGTTTGTCTGCATGGGATTATCTTTTGTGCTGTAGCTGAAGGAATCAGAGGGTATGCAGATACTGCCTTTAATGCTCATGTCTCTGATGTTAACATTTGTTTAAAAAAGGTTAATTGCATGCAATTATGTGCTAAAGGAGCTGCATCACAAGAAAAGTCAATAGTACTAGGAAACTGTAACTTTGAATTAATGATAGAGCTGAGCAGTTATGCCCAAGCATTTTATTTAAGAAGGCAGCATGGTTGTGGTTTCTTTTTTAGTATAAACTGCTACAGTGTGATGTTTTGTGTGGGTTTTTGTGATTTTTTTTTTCTTCTTCGTAACTGTGTGAAAATGCATATTTAACACTTCACACTGAATTCTTAAAGTGAGTGAATAAAGAAGCAAATATTCTGATGTTTTAAATTTAAAACACTGTTCATTAGTGTTGCATATTTAAAAACAATATTGCTCTGTCTATTAGATGTATTACTTGAAGGCAAAAGGCACAGTTGTGCTTGTTTAGCATTAGAACCTCGGAGTTTAAATAGCTTCTATTTATTTTGTAATCTGTTTATGATAAGAATCAATTGCTGCTTTATGGTACTGGTGACTGAAAATTTATTGGGGTAAGTGGAAACTATGTCCAACTTGCTGGAATCTCTCCTTTTTTTCCCTCTGCTTTCCAGCCCAGCAACCTGAGAGTTCATAAAACTCTTCAGTGAACATTCAGCTTTTATCCAATTTGTGTAAATCGTCTAGTTGATATCCATCTCCAAACTGCTGAGAAATAGTGTTGTTTTTCCTTCCTAAGCTAGCTAAACCTTTAAAGGTTTCATGTGGAAACTATGAGTTTTCTATGTAAAAAATAGATACATATATATATAAAGTTCAATAAAACATAAGTAGTCTGGTATTGAAGGGCCTTTGGGTCCTTATCTGAAAGTAATCATGGCCCTCCTGGCTCCATACTCATTTTAGATGGATGCAGTATGATTCTAAAGTACCCTGATGAGGAAAAAAAAGGCAAGTCCAGACAACAACAAAAAATACACACCCAAATCCAAACCAAATAAACCCCTCAACACCCCAAAACCAAAAGAGATTGAAAAGAGTAAGAAAAACTCCAGTTGGCCCAAACCTCTGAAGATTTTTTTGTTGCCCGGTGTTATGCTTTTTGACAGCTCTACCAAAGTCTTGGTAGACTAGACTGATATCACATGAATTTTATACTTTCAGTCCCATTAGGATTAAGGATTTGGCTTGCTTCTGATAAATGTCAATATAAAGCAGCAAAGAATCAAGCCAGCTGAGCTGGTCATGACCTTATATGCATAGTGATAATTAATAGCTAATGAGACTGATAAAATATGGTTCTGAAAAGCAGTAGACTGTTTAGAAATTAAAATTTTAAATTGCACTAGGAATTAAAGACATATTTTGCCATCATGGGCAAAAAGTTAAACTCCTTCACTAAAGGATGTGTGTCAGATATGTCACTGAAATATGTCATCTTCAATACAGTCATGCATCAGAATAAGAATTATTCATGAATTTGAGTTCAAAAAGCAGGAAAACATGGGTTAGACTAATATAATACCTGGTTTTAATCTGTACTTAAATAAGGGCAGCTGTTTCAACTTTTATGGAGAGGCCTTTCTTGTTACTTTTCTCCTGACATAATTTCTTCCACTCAAATAGAAATAAGCTGGATGTGCTATTCTCATGGGCCTGTTCTACTGCACAAGAGTCTGTACTCAGGAGTAAATACAAAACTGTACAAAGCTATATGAATATACATACACAGAACTATATGAAGGCAGACAAGTCAAACCCAATTATTACAAAATATTCTTGAGTTACTTTAGTATTAAGGTTTTTTTCCATATAACTCTCAATTTTTCCCCCTATTTCTATATCAGTGCTTATCTCTGAGGTCAGTCAGTCAAGGAGAGTTCTTCACACAATGAACTTTGTTCACTTGTGTTAATTGGAAAGAGCCTTGACTCTGATCTGCTCACACTGATCAGGCAATTTGTTCCACATAACTCAAAAATGCAGCCAAATACTGAATGTTGCCTCACTATTGTAGGTTGCATAGTCAATGAGCTACAAAGAGCAGCCATCCTCGCTCTGAAGAGAAAGCAGACATTTCATGTCTGTGAGGCAGACAGTGAAATTGAGATTTAGTAATTTTTTTAAATTCATCAGGCATGACTTTCTGAACTTTCCCTGTTTCTGGTGTTTCTAAAAGGGAAGGTGAAAAGAATCAGGAATTCTTCTTTTCATCATCATTAATGGGAAGCCTAGACATCTCAAAATATTGAAGTCCCAGCCACAATTCCTTATTCCCTTTAGTGACTTCTGGTTTTGTGGTTGCTCCAAGTGAATGATTTAGAGAGGGTATGTGGAAAATGTACACAGAGCGTTCTGGCAGAAGAGATGTGTTCAGGAAGCACAGCCAGGAGCCCCAGCAGAGCCCATGGGTGGTGCAACTGAAATGCCTGTTCCTTCTGCTTGGAAATATTCATAATCAAAATAGCTTTTTGATTGGAAATTGTTTTACTTTGGATGAGAACAAAAGCTGTGAAGCAGCACTTGATTCTTAGAAGACACATTTTTTTGTCTAATTCTTCTCCCACTTATGGCTCTTGAAACATTCAGGAGAAATAGTTGATTATTTAAAAGCTCTGCAATTTGTAGCTGCTGTAGAGGGGAAAAAAAAAAAAAAAAGACACTTTTGGATTTATGTATGGCATTTCAGTAAGATAAACAACTTTTTCAGCACAGTGGATATCTATGTCATACCAAGCTGGCTTTCCATGACAACGGGCTGCTGTTCTTCCTGCCCAACCTGCTGGAACACCTCCAGGGCTTGCATTCAGGGCCACCACTGAAATGCCTAGAGTGAGTTTATTTCTTCCTGATTGAAACAGAGCCATTAAAAGTAATTATAAAATAACAAATTGAAAGAGAATACCTGCAGGTTTTTAGGCTTGTTGTATTCAGGAAATATTTCATTAGGAAACTCATAGAAAGGTAAAAACCAGCTATTTAAATTTTAACTTTTGAAAATGTGGTATTTTTTTACATTGAAAATATCAGTATTTACAATGAAGGAGCAAACCTAATTTTCTGTTTAGTTTTGAACTGTACTGATGGAGACATATGAGACAGAGCACTGAAGCATTTGCATTTCTCCTACTTGATCCCTGTGTCCTCAGTCAAACCCAGTGCAGCAGGGACTGCCTTTCTCACTGCAGTGAATGTGGGACCATCAGTTCTGGAGGGATTATTTTTAGAATATATCCTTTTATAACAACCTTAGTAATACTAGAGAGGAGGGAATTTGAAATGCCATAGTTGCACATGACTTAACTCGCAGCAATTGTACTTACCAGCTTCTACTGGAACAGCTTTCAGTTTTCAAAGAAAATGGTGGCCAGTTATGATGGATTTTCTTTTGAAATCTTTGCACAGACACAGAGCATGAGATTTTTTTCAGTTTTTCTGGTGTGAGGAGTTTCTAGATCCTGCAGCATTCTTCAAAAATCATGTGGCAGAGAAAATATGTCCCAATATACTCTGCTCAATTCCTTGTAACACGGTTTAAGCTGGAAACTAATTTGCTGATGAACTCTCATCCCCATTGTAAAGTATGGTAGCTGTGGAGTAAACTAAAATCACAGCTTTACTTTCAAACCTCAGTGCAGCCTAATCTGTTGAAACAGTGGAAACACTCACTTGTCAGCTGCTTCTTAAAACTCAAGAAACTGTTCAAGATGGAAAGCTGTGTTTAGTGTTTTGGGGGGCATTGTGATTTTTTTTTTTAAAAAAACTTGCTATAACACAGTGGATGTTTCATTATGAATTTGATACAAATTTATACAATAAATATTTTTAAGCATTCTGCAAATAAAAAGCGACATGTGGCAAGATGAGATAAATATCAAAAAATTATTTCCATGTGCTGTGCAGTAATATTACTGTACAAATGATGGTTAGGAATTGAAATTAAGTTCATGTGAGTTAAAAATCACTGAGCATTTGGCTTCCGTATTTTGGGAGTATTTTTAATAATCAAGAAGAGTATAAACGAGATGACATCACTAACAACTAAAATACAGATCCTTGAAACATTTATGGCATACCAGCTGTCCAAGAAGCATCATCATCATCATCTTCTGACAAATGATATCCTCTGAGGCTTGATGTACAGCACTCAGATATGCTATTTCAAACACTTTGCTGACTGAATGATACATTTGAAAGATATTTGAAAGTTGTCTTTCTAGGGCCAGGCAAATGCAAGTCTTTCCAACCTGAAGAGAATAAGAAATCTAAGAAATGTGCAGCTCCCTTAGCAAAGGGACAGTAGATTTACCAGTTTTACATTTTGTTTCTTACCTTATTTTATATCACCTCACATCAACTTGTTTTAACATTCTTTTAAGGAACTCATATTCCTTTTAGAAGATTAATGCTTGTACCCCTTAGTATTCTTGAGAAAATAAACATCAGATATAGCAAGATGGATTAATTTTTCATTTCACTGCTTACTGCTTTCCTTTCAGCTTCTTGCCTGATTACATCAGTGGTGATTTTGATTCCATTCAGCCTGAAGTCAAGGAGTACTACAAGGCCAAGGTAAATTAAATCCCTTTGAGTTTTTGTGTGATAGAGCATTGTAAGATCCAAGCCATTAGTGCTGCCATAGGTCACAAAGTGATTCTGGTTCCATTGCTTCCTTTGAGGCTTCAGTTGTAAGCACCTGAGAAGCTCAGAAGTTGTGCTTTGTGGCACTGTCCTAATGCTTAAAGCAAACACAGGAGGTGTGGTACTGCCTGAATCCTGCACAAGGTGAGTTTTCATAGTATCAGGTGATGAAATAGATCGTATGTTGCTAGAGATTACAGCACCTAGAAACTAGGATAAAACTTCCTGAAAAACCTGTGAATCTGAAAAATCTTCTTTTGCATGGTGAGATATAGAGAAATAAAGATTAACTTACCATGATTCCCACCTGGTGGGTACCTACATACTTTCTATATCTTCTCGGTGTGCTATTTGTAAGATATGACTTTACCTTTTTAGGGGAAAGCTGCAGATGGAGAAATGTCTCTTTCCTCACCCACTGAAGCACTGAATTACAGTCAACAACTTCTGCCACACTGGTGGAGTGCCCTCCTTAATGAGTTATTGGATAAATTGCTGCCTGCGTTAATTTATTGGCAGTGAGCAGCATAAATGTAAACTCACTTTTTCTCAGGTCTTAGGGCTCAAAGTTCTGCCTTTACCTGACTCTTTGGTATTTAACACTTCACCTGCCTACTTGTTTAGACTTTTGTGACGAGCACAGTTCTTTACCCTGGCATCTTGGACAGCAGGCAAATTCAGAGTTTGCCTTGACAGACCAGCTTATCTTTGTAGCAGGCTGCTCTTGCAAGAGGAGTAATTGTTTAATCCTTCTGAGGTAGTTGACTTAGTCTGCTGCTAATTCATGTATAAAAATAAAATTTGCTTAAAATCTTCCCTGTTGGACTTGGGATTAAATGGTTAGAACAAAAGGTTTCAAACTGTGAGGGAAGGGCTGGATGAGTGTGTAGAGCAGGATTTTAGTCTCACACTGGGCACTGTGGGGTTTTATTTCCATATTCTACCTCATTTTTTAGAATGGAGAAATGTGTGATGGTTGTTCATCTCTAGGAGAACCACTCAAGAAAAAAATCTCAGGAATCTTTAAATTAAAGCTTGAGAAGTGAAAATAAAATAAAAATAAAAATTTCAGATTAATACTACTCACTACAGACTGAAAATTCATGATCTGTGAATAAATTAATTCAAGAAGTATTTGGGCAACAGTCTTGCGTACTTGGTGTGACTCTTGGGGATGATGCTGTGCTGGGAGTTGGACTTACTGGTCCTTGCAGTTCCCTTCCGACTCAGCTTCTTGTGTGATTCTGTGAGTCTGTAAAAGGGGAAACTGCAAAATGCACTACTCTGTTTGACATGGACATGGGCAACCCCCAGTACCAACACAGGGTGAGGGGTGAACAGATGGAGAGCAGCCCTGGGGAGAAGGACCTGGGGGTGCTGGTGTTTGGGAGGCTGGACATGACCCAGCCATGGGCACTCCCAGCCAGAGAGACAAACGTGTCCTGGGCTGCATCCAGAGCAGCGTGGGCAGCAGGGCCAGGGAGGGGATTCTGCCCCTCTGCTCTGCTCTGCTGAGACCCCACCTGCATCAGCTCTGGAGTCCCCAAAATGGACCTGCTGGAGTGAGCCCAGAGAAGGACTCCAAGATGATTAGTGGGGTGAAGGGATCAGAAGATGAGTCAAGGCTGAGAGAATTGGGGTGGTTCAGCCTGGAAGATAGAAGGTTTCGGAATGATTTAATTGCAACTTTTCAGTACCTGAAGGGAGCCTAAAAGAAAGATGGAAACTTTTTACAAGATTATATAGTGACAGGACTAGTGGGAATGGCTTCAAATTGATAGTAGGCTTAGATTAGATACTAGGAAGAATTTACTCTCAGGGTGGTGAGACACTGGAACAGGTTGCCCAGAGGAGCTGTGGCTGCCCCACCCCGGCAGTGTTCATGCCAGGTTGGATGGGGCTCTGAGAAACCTGGTGTAGTGGGAGGTGCTCCTGCCCATGGCAGGGGACTTGGAACTTGATTTTTTAAAGGGTCTCTTCCAACCTGAACCATTCTATGATTTTGCAATTAATGCTTAAATGAACAGCATGCTGGTAGGTAGGTGAGTCCTACCAAAGAATGCAAAAGTTAATGATCATTCAACAGAGAGAGGGGACATGGAAGAGGTAGGAGGTGGAACAATACAGTAGTTATTACCCTTTTGCACAGGGACTACTTTCCTGGCCAGAGCATCCTTTTTGTCAGCTCAGTTGCATCTTACTGGTGATGTGCAGTTAACATCTTCTCTTTGAACACATGGTGAATCATTCTACTTCACACAGAGGTAATACATCTGCACAAGGGCTGAGCTGATAGGAAGAAGTAATTCATCAGGATTTTAAAGGTGTAATGAACAGCATCACCTGCCCTACTGAATCCTTGCCTGGGGTCTTCATAGAAGACTGAGGAAAATGCAGATAGACTTTGGAATTATAAGTTTGGGTGTACATGGTAGGAAAAATAATTTTTTAGATTTTTAAATTAACTTGCCATAATCAGAAAATTTGAATGGTAAATATGGGTGTCTAAGGAAATCTTGAGCAAAAAATATAATAAAACACAGAAATTTGAGACAAGCGTATATTTCTTCTCTTGTAAAGCATCTTGTTCATTAAAGCACCCTCTGTAGTCCAGACAATTTCCAAAGTCACTGTCTTTTGGAGATGCTGTATATGTTCATGACTCAAAATACATTAGGACTGCTTAAAACAGGCTGTGGAGAACTTCAGGTGAGTAGATCAGTGTAGCACCACTGACTTTAGGGAAGCATCATGTTGCCAATTAGGGTTGCTTCCCCTGCTATCCTTCCTTACCCACATGCAGATTACACCCAGAGACAAGATAAGCCACTATCACTAGATAATATTGCTGTGTTGTTTGTAGTGAATTACATAAAAATTGTAACATCAGGATTTTAGAGATCTCTTTCCTTGGTTAACAATCATGTTTGAGTACCTGGCTTTTGGCCAGACTTGTGCTTTGGCTGGCTCGTGAGCTGCCGCACAACAGAACCAAAATCTTATAAATCCCACAGGACACTTAGGCTGAACTTGAGTTTGCAGCAACATCTAAAGGCAAAAGTTCTGTTTTGGAAAGTAACTGTGTAACAGACTTCTGAGTGGGATGTGTAAGTGAGGAGTTAAGCATTCTTTTTGGGAGAGAATAAGTAAGCATGTGTCAGAGGTTATTCAGCTTTTTATTTTTTGTGGTCTTGGTTTTGCCTCATTGGATTGTCAAGGATGTACTTGTAGTCTTCTATTAAAATTTATTAAAATATTAGAAATTATTTACCCCATTTCTTAGAGTTAAATAATGTTCAAACTGAATAAAACTGCAACACAACTGAAAATGAAATGTCATGTTTAAAATCTCTTTTTAAAATTATATTGCACTATAAATTAAGGATAAAGAATAGCAATTTGGTATTCATTATTCTGTGTATTTTCTGTCATTGTTAAAGTAGAAATTGAGAAGAGTTTTTTTACTTTAATGATAAATATGCATGTTCATGTGATCCCATAATAGATGCACTGGCATTCTTTCTCTGTACAGTCTGAAGTGCATTGGAAATGACACTGCACAAAGCAGGGAGGATTTGTGGTGATATTTCTGTCATTGCAGTTTCATCCTTTTCTTGCTTTGGCTGAATGTTTCTATTACTGAAACCTTTTAAACATTGCTCTGAAGTCTAAGCAGCCATTTGTATTGTTATGCCTCAAACAAGGTTCTGTTTCTGAAGTCTAAAGTCCAAAGACATTATCTAAAATTACACCAAATCTGTACTTATGCCTAGAAGCAGAAGGTTGAATCCAATGCCCTTTGAAATCCAGGCTATGCTTTTTATTAAAAATCTGGTTTGGCTTTCCTTCCAAGCAAACTTCATGGGCCTTGAAAGGCTGCTGTAGACTTAGCAGGCTCTGCTTCAGATCTGTAATTAAATGCTGTGAACTTATTTACGAATCCACTTCTTCTCCTGTTCTTTTTTCTTTTTGAAATCCTGTAGGGCTGCTTATTTTTGCAGGCAGTTCTGCAGCTGTAGCACTTTCCTATTTTCATTTCCAGGGATAATGGTTATCAGGGCTGTAAAAAGCTTTAATAGGTAGGGTGTGGGTATTGTATTTTTGTTCTATGATGATGCACCTATAATTAGATTTACAAAATATATTGGTAACACTGATGTAGTGCTTTTATGTCTCCCTAATGCCTGCACTTTCTGGATAAACTGCATGTTTTAGGCCATGTTCCCTGCTTGTTTTCCAAGGCCAAACTTTTTAATAATTTTATTAAATCACAGCATTAATTGATTTGCCTCAGTTATATTACTATAATTTAAAACAAAGAAAACCATTAAGTTTTTATGTGACTATTTTAATTTATCTTTTATCCCTGAATGTTACATTTTTTCTAGTACTAATTTTTAATACAGGATCAGACTTCAGATATTAAAATGCTTGACTCATTCTTGTTAGACTGAACAGTTTTCTAAGAAAAACATGGCTCATTTTAGGGCCTAATTCCTTTGTGTAATGTTTTAAAGTTTCAGGAGGAACTCTCAAAATTGTGCAAGTGGATCTGAAACTATTCAGCCTTGCTGTTGGGCTGGCTACTTCTGTTTGACATTCACTTCTTCAGCTTCCAAGCAATCCCTTGTTTAATACATTCTGCTGACGACATCTTTGACAAGTATAAAAAGTGTTATGACTACCTCAGCTCTGCTTCTGATGTGTTGAGGGTGCCTAAAGCAACCTGGATTTAGATCCAAGTTGTATGATGTACATTTGTTGCAAGAGCCTTAGTGCCTTAATATAAATAGAGATTCATCAAGCCAAAACAATTTACAAATCTGTTATGGTCCTGCTATTAATAGTTCAAACTGTATATGACTGTATATGCAATTTAGGATTTTAGACTGGAAGCTTTCTATATGCCTTAGTCATGTAATTATTCAACA